CCCCCACCCCTCCGCACTTGCTTGCTGCATACTCCCGACGGTTGAGCTGCCTCTTCGCTTCTTGCAGGTTGGCACCGGGTGCATCTCTGATGCAGGGGCTTCTGACCTAAGCACTGGCGCTCCCGTTTGAAATTGCGCGAGCAGGGTTGAGATCACACGTCCAGCACCACGACCATAGCCGTCCCGACATCAACCCCGAACTACTACTACCACCTTGATGCCACCGCCCAGCTGATTTCGCTTACGAATTACATCATTGTTCAGTGATTTACATCACCTGCCGTATAATCACACTAGCCCGGACATTGCCGTGACATCCTCATCCACACACGTCATGCGCCGTATGCTTATATGGTCAAATACCCGTACACTCAGGCGCCTCGCTCTGCGAGCCCCGCGGGTATTTGGGTACTCGGATGTTTGGATGTTCGGGTGTTCGGAGCTCGGGTTTGGATGTTCGGTTGTTTGGACGCCTGCATTACCACACGGGCGAGCACTCAGGTCTGCTCAGGCCCGTCCAGGTCCACTCAGGTCCACTCAGATCCACTCAGGTCCACTCAGGTCCATTCGGGTTCTTTGTGGTCCCTAGTCCCTTGTAGTCCCTTGAGGTCCCCTGCCTTCCATCCACAGTAAGTCTTGGCACCTTCATCGTAGGGGTTCGCAATACAAGTTCTGAATGTTCTGGGTCCTTGAGTGCATCCTGCTTCATCGCTGCCTGTTATGTCGCCGCGCGCCTGTTGGTGCGCGTTGTGGACTGCGGACTGCCGTCCTTCCATCCATCCATCCGTGCGTGATGGGTCTGGGCTCTGAGCAGGTGTCAGGGTTGAGTCGCTTACATGGTTTGGACTAGGAGTACCTTGGCACTCATCTCACAGAGCTGTGGTCTCCCCGAGCTAGACTAGACAGGGTCAGCTTGAATGAATAAAAAAAAAAAGCACCCTCGACTAACTGATATCTCCCCTAGGGGTTCCGTTGCTTTGCGGCTTGGTGGACATGCTTCCGCAACGACCACCTCACGTCTCGCAGGATTTATGGGACCTGGAGCTACCATCTGTGCTGGGCCTCTCCCATCCGAGATGCCTGGAAGGTGGGGCCACCCCGGAGCCAGATGATAGTCCAATACAAACTGAAGATGAGCCGATTCTTTCGCCCAGCCTTCCTGAGATCACCGTTGAGATCAATGCTGAATCCTCCGACTTGTCCCCACACACGCCCCCTAGCATGGCACCGGCCACTTGGGGAGATATCTGGAACACCACAGCCAGGGACCTCTCATATACCTTGAATCTTTCCTTCGGTGAAACACCGCAAGCATTGGATGACAATGTGCCGTTGGAGGTCCTGTCACAACGACTCTGCATGCAGCGCAGTTGCACGATGGCGGATATGATGCGGCTGTGCGAGCTATTGCCACACGATCGAGCCCCGAAGCGGCGTCGGCTATCTACATCGGATGGAGATACAGGACTAGTGCAGCGCACCTTTTCAGTTGGAGCTTTTGCCATTGGTGGTGGAATCGTGGGGGTACAGCTTCATACTTACAACTTTCCCTGGACTACACGCCTTTTGACCGCCTTGGTCAACGACTGTGACCCTCGTCACAAGTACAGCAGTTGCACAGTCCTCTTGAATGTCCTCCACTATAAGCATCAGGATCACTCGAACGAGCCCGGAACCATGAACCTGCTCATACCTTGCAGCCGCTGGCAAGGTGGGCAGGTCTGGATGGCTAATTCTGATGGTTCTGTGCACCTTGACCAACGCTCAGGTCCGGGTATCCTTCGGGTCGTTGAGCCACCGGGCATCACACTTGACCCGCACATCGCACACGCTACCTTTCCATGGCGTGCTGGTCACAGACTACTGGTGGTGGCGCATCATGCACGTGGAGTTGGCCGCCTTACGGCACGCGAGCGTGGACACTTGGAGTGGGCAGGTTTTTACTTGAACGATCCGTGACGGTGGTGACTTTCACTCTGCATTTTATTGCACCGCACCTGGGCGCGAGACTTCTTACTTCTGACTTACGGCTGCCGCTTTGCGCTGGTGACGCGGGTGGCGGCTTGTCGCCGTTACCCGCTTCACGAGCCGGGTCTGACGCGTCTCACTCGTGATGGAGGCCGCGATGTAGACTCCTTCTTTTTCCCTAAGGCGCTGCTTTAATCGTGTATTCTGGTTGTTGTGTTGC